AAATTACCATTTTGTTTAAGAGATAGAAAAAATTGTTTTTTTGACTATCATAAGATTTTTATGTAGCCATTTTGAGTTAAAATAAAATAAACTGGTTGAAAAATGTTTTTGCGATTAAAAAAAAATTCCGTCCTCAAAGGTTTAATAGTCATGGCTTGAAGGACAATAGTGGAACACTGCCAATGTCTTGTAATTTTTCTGGTCTCCATCTTGATTTCAGTGAAGCTCTAGTACTCATAGCAGTTTCAGACAAAATTGTCAACAAACTTTTGGCTCGCTGAAGGGTCCTACTGGAGGTGATACCTTCAATGAGTGTTCTAATGCGCCACCAGAATGCAGCAGATTTGTGACTTCTTGCCTGAGTTTCACGGAGGCTTTTGCACTCACAAAGATTTCAGATGCTGTCTGCAACCGTGTCTCGGGCTCCTAAGCGATCTTGACGCTGGACACGACTTGACTGGCAGCCCAGATATGGATTATGACTTCAGTCAGTGTTCTGGTTCCCGTCGCACTTCGAGTCGCAATCCTGCGACATTGGCAGCTTTGACTATGTGTCCTGGCTCCCTGTGCTTCGTTAGGAACCTGCTAACTATTTTGGTCTGCTGAGCGGTCTAACCTTGGGAAAGTTATAGGATAGCTTGTATGAAGGCTTCTTAGCTCACGGAGCTGAAATGGAATAGTCACATACCTAATGATTATAGTCTATACAGTCCTATCAAAGGTTTTCTGGATCGAGGATCTGAATGTAACTATCCTTTAGTTGAGACTCTGATGGTGCACGTATATATTGAATGACTTTGTCGTCATTATCTGACGTAGTAAATGTGTAATTAACTCTTGCTTTTTTTGTAGTATTCAGTTTTTTTAGCTTTTTAGGAGACAATCACAGACTAACAGTTGTTTATATCATATTGATCAGGATCGTGAGATGATGTTCTGTCTAGTCATCTCTCTCGTATCTATTCTCTTGTAGGAAACTTAATTAAAAAGGAGCTAGGTTACTAATAGCTGAAATTTCTTATGTGAGTTTGGATGGTTTGCGCTATAGACATCTAAAAATGTGATAGAATAGGTGGTCGACTCAATTATGAAAACAGATTAACACATTCGACCCGATTCAGTTTTCTTAAAAAATTTTTTCGAGATGTTTATTTTCATGGGGATTTTACTTCTAATAAATGCACTTAATGACCTTTTCGTTATCTTCTACTGATTATCTGTCGTGCTCTTCTTTATATCACTACATAATGACTCATTTTTTTCTGACCAACTGAATAATCGCTCAAGTTACTTTTTCGTTCTTTTTCACGTAGGTGAACTTAGCCTCATATTCGACTAAATCCAGCCAATATTCGGCGCCAAAGCTGCCCTAGCTGCGCCAGACAACGCCCGTATACAACTCGACGGGCTCTATCGATTGGTGACTTTGGATTTCTCCTAGCTTGAATCATTCGTGCAAAAATCCAAAAATCCTAGGTTTCTCCTAGGCAAATTGTAGCTTATAGATAGTAAATCCAGCCAAGATTCGGCGCCAAAGGTGCCTCCCCTGCACCAGACATCAACACTATACAACTCCACGAGCTCTATCCATTGGTGACTTTGGATTTTTCCTAGCTTGAACCATTCGTGCAAAAATCCCAAAATCCTAGGTTTTTCCTATACAAATTTTAGCTTAAGGATAGTAAATCCAGCCAAGATTCGGCGCCAAAGGTGCCTCCCCTGCGCCAGACAGCATTAATATACAACGCGACGAGCTCTATCCATTGGTGACTTTGGATTTTTCCTAGCTTGAACCATTCGTGCAAAAATCCCAAAATCCTAGGTTTTTCCTATACAAATTTTAGCTTAAGGATAGTAATTCCAGCCAAGATTCGGCGCCAACGCAGTCACAGCTGCGCCAGACAGCACCAATATACACCTCGACGAGCTCTATCCATTGGTGACTTTGGATTTTTTCTAGCTTGCACCATTCGTGCAAAAATACCAAAATTCTAGGTTTTTCCTATACAAATTTTAGCTTATAGATAGTAAATCCAGCCGACATTCTTCCAGGAAACTGCACTAGACAGTTTCACAATAGAACTCGATGAGTTGCATCGATTGGTAACGTTGAATTCTCCCTAGCTGAAACCATTTGCGAAAAAATTCGAAAATACTAATTTATTTGCATACCACTATTATGAAATGGTTGCTAAAATCAGGCAATATTCTTGTAGGAAGCTGTGCCAGAGGCTCCATAGACTTTGATATTAGAACTCAATGAGCTCTATCGATTGGAATAAGTAGATCCACCGGGGTGATATGCTAGAGAAAACTTGTCAACTTTGACCGGAAAAGTTCAAAAGATGCAATAGAAAAAACCCAGCATTTTCATTCTACTTACACATGCTTTCAGTTATGACAACACCAAAATTACCTATTGATAGGGCTCAGTCAAGTTACGTATGGGAACGTATTGAAATTGCTAAAACAACTTCCTACAATAATATCGGCTGATTTTAGTCACCATATGATATGACTAATAGCATAATACATTAGTATTTTCGAATTTTTTACAAATGGTTTCAGCTATGAAGAATCCAACGTTACCAATCGATAGAACTCATCGATTTCTACTCTGGAACTGTCTAGAGCAGTTTCCTGCAAGAATGTCGGCTAGGTTTATTGACAATGTGGTAAGGTAAGCATAGGAAAAAACTAGCATTCTGGGATTCTCAAAGGCATAGCTCAAGCTAGGAAAAATCGAAAGTGACCAATGGATAGAGCTCGTCGAGTTGTAAATTGGTGCTGTCTGGCGCAGCTGGGGCACCCTTGGCGCCGAATCTTGGCTGGATTTACTATCCATATGCTAAAATATGCCTAGGAACAACCTAGGATTTTTTTGGATTTTTGCACGAACGGTTCAAGTTCGGAAAAATCCAAAGTCACCAATGGATAGAGCACGTCGAGTTGTATATTGGTGCTGACTGGCGCAGGTGAGGCACCTTTGGCGCCGAATCTTGGCTGGATTTACTATCCATAAGCTAAAATTTGTACAGGAAAAACCTAGGATTTTGGGATATTTGCACGAATGGTTGAAGCTAGGGAAACTCCAAAGTCATCAATCGATAGAGCTCGTCGAGTTGTATATTGGTGCAGCCTGTCGCAGTTGGGGCACCCTCGGCGCCGAATCTTGGCTGGATTTACTATCCATATGCTAAAATTTGCGTAGGAACAACCTAGGATTTTTCGATTTTTGCACGAATGGTTCAAGTTGGGAAAAATCCAAAGTCACCAATGGATAGAGCTCGTGGAGTTGTATAGTGTTGATGTCTGGCGCAGGGGAGGCACCTTTGGCGGCGAATCTTGGCTGGATTTAATATCCATGTGCTAAAATTTGCCTAGGAAAAAGCTAGGATTTTTGGATTTTTGCACGAATGGTTCAAGCTAGGAAAAAGCCGAAGTCACCAATCGATAGAGCTCGTCGAGTTGTATGCTGGCGTTGTGTGGCGCAGGGGAGGCACCTTTGGCGCCGAATCTTGGCTGGATTTACTCGAATATGAGGCTAACTTCACCTACGTATTGCATCGAATGAATAATATTTTTTATTGCTTTCATTACTAGACGAAAACTATGACATTTCTTTCGTCAAACAATATTCTATTATTGACTTAAAGTTACTCATTTTCGACATCGTCAAACAATAGTTTTGGTTAAAATTAGAATTCTTTTCAAATTTTTTTTCCGTTACATGAGTTTAAGAAAAAACAATAAAATTAATAGAATAATTGCTGCATTTTCACTGTTGTAGCACGATTTACAATATAATTCTATTTCTGTTTGAACCAGTTTGCTATTCGAATTTTAATTATTCATTTTTCTGAAAAATAAATCTTTCTAAGTTCGAATAGAAAGATTATTTGACGAATTTATTCATTTTCTAAGAAAAATTTCCGTAACAAAGTTTTTAAACTATATTAGTAAGTGGCAATTGTAATTTTAGTTTTGTAACAATTCCTGATAGAAGCATTGCTACTGTTAACCGTATTACACTCTATTTCGTTTCTTTATGCCATCAGTTGCCTCAATTACATAAAAAACACACACTGGAATATATAATCATCGAAGAGAACGAAAGAAGATGAATATAAAAACACATGTCAAAGACATCAAAGAAATAATAAAAAGCAATGACGATGCTAACGACACAAACATATAACAAGAAAGTGGTACAGATTACTTAAATAGGCTGTGGATAAAAAATGATGATTTTGTAAAAATTCTTTCTACATCGGCATCTACACCTAACACCCTTAGAAGAGTACACTATCCTATTTTCGACGATATCATGCGATTGCTGAAAATGTTTAAAATTAATCATCACTTTCACTAATACTCTCCAAATATTTGTTATTTTTTCGTTTCTAATGATTTTAAAATGCCCGTTAGAAAATAAATAAAAAGGACATGTTCAATCGTTTTTTAAGTCAATAATAGTTTATTGTTTTTTCTTTCTCTTTTGCTGCTCACGAATAGATGTAATCAATAAATTGAGAATCGTTGTATGCTTAGTGAATGCTTTCTTTTGTATATGTTTCTATAGTTACTCATAATAGACATCGTTAAAAAACATATTTTCTCTACTTAAAATACTGCATTGATTCGAAATGATTAGACCGAGAAAAAGTCGATTTTATAATAAGAAGATGGAGAATTTGAAAACTTACGAGCTCAATTGAATATAATGCCACGAACCGTTGATCACAATGATAAATTAAACCTGAATCTTACCGAGTTACCCAATAACAAGGAAGATTTTCAATTGATTTGGCTCGATGCTCATCTTGCTAAATCATCTGATACACATAAAACTAAGAAAATGCTTCGAATATTGAACGTCAATGCTCAGTTTTACACTGATGTCGGCAAGTGTCTTGAAATTATTTTAAATATTCAAACAGAACATATTCTTCTTGTAGTCTCTGACTCATTAGCTCGAATTATTTTACCTCAACTACAAAGTATACGATTTGTTCGTGCTGTTTTTATTTCCTACGAAACACCTGAATTTGATTAAAATCTTCTTAATGAATATCCACGAAAAATTGTTGATATTTATACCGATCAAGATATCTTAATTAAATCGATTACTGATACAATGAAACTCATTGAGAAACAAGATATGACATTTTGTGTGTTTGATTGTAAACAAAAATCAACACGTGATCTTACCGAAGAATCTGTATCATTTCTATGGAATCAACTTCTAGTTGATGTATTAAGAAAAATGTCGACTGATGAGCAAGCAAAGAATGAAATGTTAGATCATTGCTCTTCTTATTATCGAAACAATAGACAAGAACTTTAAAAACTCGAATCTTTTCGTATTTCGTACACACATAATGATGCTATTAAATATTACACAGCTGACTCATTTCTATATAAACTTCTAAACAAAGCTTTACGTACGAAAGATATTACACTATTGTATACATTTCAATTCTTTATTATCGATCTGTGTACTCAACTTGATGTTGGAAAGAAGTAATTAGTTGAGAAAGAAAGTGAAACACTCACTTTATATCGAGGTCAACAAATTTCAAAAGAAGAATTCGAAAATTTGAAAAATAATATTGAAGCGCTCATAGATGCAAATGGCTTCCTATCGAATTCACTCGATGAAAATGTTTCTATTGACTTTTTGCAGTTACTACTGTCTTATTTAAATGAAAATATGATTCGAGTACAAATGACCATCAAAGCCGATCCAAAATCATTATAGGATGTGATATTTGCAGATGTTAGTCATCAAAGTGAATTTAAATTAGAAGAAGAAGTGCTTTTTTGCTCGGAGCTGTCTTTCGAATTGATAAATATCAATTTGATGAAACAATTTCTATGGAAAAAGTTCTGTTAACTGCTACGGACGAAAGTTCAACGACATTGCAATCATATTTAGATGCGCAAAAGCATCAACTACAACTTTATTCTCCATTGGTCTATCTTGGACCTCTTTTAATGATTCAAATAAACGAAGTTCAATGCGCAGCAAAATATTTTCAGATGCTCCTCAAAACATTACTCAGTGATCATTCAGATATAGCAGATGTCTACAATCAGATCGGAGCAAGGCTGCCATACGTACCCCATTTTGGGGTACAATACCTCATTTTGTCTTTTCGTACCCCAGGAAAATTTGTACCTCTGCAGTACATATTTCGTATCCCATTTAGATTTCAAGTTTTTCTTGGCATAAATTGACCATGTTTTTGAATACAACTTGTGTCATTTTTGCATGAAGTATTATAGTGAAGAGTATTATTAATGAGTTGATCAAGGAACATAAACACTCATTATTGTGTACTCAAAAAGTTCATAGACTCTAGAATTGGTCAGTGTATCCGACCGTCCGGCAGTTTACACGATAACTTTTGAAAGGTGTGTCAGATCGCGATGAAATTTTCTACACAGTTTAATCTCAACAATATCTCGGTCGAGTTCGAAAGATGAGAATGATTGGTCAAGCCATTCCTGAGTTACTGCAAAAATAGTCATTTTCCCCTATACTTTCCTATGCGAAAATCAACTCCTTCCCGCTTTCGTGAACAACTTTTCCTATCATAATCAAATAAAACTCCAACTCTTATATATATAATTCGATAGAGAATTTCACGAGCTACAAAATGGTATATGAAATATAAAGAAACAAGAAGGCTAACTTTTCTAATGCAACGATAATTAAACGGCAATGGATTCTGTTTTTGTCCATGCTCTGATTCATCCCCAATTCGGGCTCTATCTTTCGATCAAAGAGATGTTAATTCGAGGTTTTCTAGGGCGGAGAACTCGAATCTGTACTCCACTTGCCTCGAAATACCATTGATTGAGCAGGGACCAATAGAAATCAAGTTATAGGAAAAACGACTTTCTTAGGATAATTCAAGGCGAAGAGTTTAAATATGAGCTGTATTTGGCCCTAAATCCTATTGATTGATCAGTAACCAATAGAATTTATATTTTTATAGAAAGGTTTGCGAGGATGATGATTTTGATGTCCAAACATTCTAGGATAACTCATCTGTCTAATTCACTTGTTGAAGTACACATAACTCTCTGATTTAGATCCGAGCTTTCCACATTTATTTTCGCTTACTTTCGTCTCGGCCTTTTCTGGTTCTCGTGCTTATTTTCATTCTCGAAATCGAAACTGTGTTCGATGAGCAGTTTGGTTTTTGCTCTTTATTTTACTATGTTTTCTATCATATTTGACCGACACATACGATTTATAAAGTTACTTCAGATTTGATCTTTTACCGAATAGATGATAATATTAACTTTTCTTCAGAATTCGCCAAAGAATGTCAGATACAAACATTGTAGAGTCTGATCCACAAGCATTAGCAATAATTGAAGAATCAACTACTACTACTAAAAACTTAAGTACAATTAATAAAGAAAAAACTTTATCAACGAAGTGAAGGGCATTATGATCACAATAGGAAATGAGTGAGAAATCCAAAAAATGCAATGCTCTTTCAGAAATATAAAGCGGATTTCTTCCTTCAGTTGCGTTTTAGCTGTAAATCAGATTTCTCAATTACTTATGGAGAAAAATACTTGACTACCTGGCATCTCAAATTAGCAACGTAGTTAGACGAAATCGATCAAAAGACATGTTTTAACGCGTTAAAATGTGCACTTTTTAACGATTTCACGAACCTTCTTCGAATAAAAAAGAGGTTTGAAGATGATAATTTCCATAAGCTGGATTTTGCCTAGAAAAAAAAATTTTTCTAGTACAACAAGCGCAAAGTTTAACGCCTTTTTGTGCCTTACAATGAACTCTTATCTACCTGAGTAGTGATAAATACTTAACCGTAGCTGAAGTTGACTGAAGAAAAATGTGCTGTTTCTACAGTAGAGTTGTTTTTAAAATTATGATATAACTATGAAAGTATTTTTGTGAACAACATAAACAGTACAGCCAATTTCTGATAGAGGAAAGTTCCATATATTATTATCTTCTTGAAAGAAATTTTTCGTCATAGTTTGTTAGTTAATTAGCCTAGTTTAAAAGAAAAAGTACGTACCTGAATGAGGTATCCCATTCTGAAAGGAAATGCACCCCATCCGTGATTCAAAAAACTCCAATTGAGAATTCAGATATGGCAGCCCTCGGTCGAAGCAGCGCATTATATGAATGCTCAAGAATTAACTGGTAGTCTAAAGGAATCGAAACTAAGTCAAACACTTGAGATGCTTGAAAAAGCATTAGAAATGTAGCAAAATATGTATGGTGACAATGACATTCGAATTGCAGTATGGTTCAATAATATAGGATCTGTCTACAATGATCGTAGAAAATATGATGCTGCCTAAGGCTACTATAAATGCGGATTACAAATTCTGGAAAATACTACATACCGAAAGAGCATTTGCAAAGGAAGGTCAGTGTGGGTGTGAGTGTCGGTGGGTGTGGGTCTGCGTTTGAGCGTGGGTGTGGGTGAAGACAAGACCTGCATCCACACTCACATCCACATCCACACCCACCCCATCCTACACCATACCCACACCTACCCTCAAGATGACCATTGGATAGAGCTCCTGGAGTTCTATCAACCTATGTGATTTTCACGTGTTTGTGCCAGCTGTGGGCGAATCCCGGAATAGTTTTCGGGAAAAACTGGGATTTCTAAGTATATTGGGGTTTTGATGAGAGTGAAAGTACTTCGAATACGTTAAAAGACAACCATTGGATAGAAGTCATCGCGTTCGATCTACCTATGCCCTTCTCATGTTTTGGTCCCAGCAGTGCGTGAATCCCGTAACGGTTTTTTGCTCGAACACTACGATTTTTGAGTATATTCGGATTTTCGAGAGCATGGAAATACTTCGAATATGTAAAAAGCTGACCATTCGATAGAGCTCGTGGAGTTATATCTACCGATGCAATTTTCACATTTTCGTGCCAGCTGTGGGTCAATTCTGAAATGGTTTTTTGGGAAAATCTAGGATTTCAGCGTATATTGGAGTTTTAAGGAGGATGGAAATACTTCCAATATGTAAAAAAGCGACCATTCGACAGAGCTCATGGTGTTCTATCTACCTATCTCATATTCACGTTTTGGTGCCAGCTGTGGATGAATACCGAAACGGTTTTTGGGAAAATCTACGATTTCTGCGTATATTACGTAGGTGAAGTTAGCCTCATATTCGAGTAAATCCAGCCAAGATTCTGCGTCAAAGCTGCCCCAGCTGCACCAGACAGCGCCAGTTTACAACTCGACGAGCTCTATCCATTGGTGGCTTTGGATTTTTCCTAGCTCGAACCATTCGTTCAAAAATCCCAAAATCCTAGGTTTTTTCTTCGCAAATTTTAGCATATGGATAGTAAATCCAGCGAAGATTCTGCGCCAAAGCTGCCACAGCTGCGCCAAAGAGCGCCAGTGTAGAACTCGACGATCTCTGTCCGTTGGTGACTTTGGATTTTTCCTAGCTTGAACCATTCCTGCAAAAATCCCAAAATACTCGTTTTTCCTATGCTAATCTTACCACATTGTCAATAAACCCAGCCGACATTCTTGGAGGAAGCTGCTTCAGACAGTTCCACAAGAGAACTCGATGGGTTCTATCGATTGTTAACGTTGGTTTCTCCATAGCTGAAATCACTTGTGAAAAAAGTCGAAAATACTAATTTATTAGCCTATGAGTCCTACACATGGTGACTAAAATCAGCCGATATTGTTGTAGGAAGTTGTTTTAGCAATTTCAATACGTTCCCAAAAGTAACTTGACTGAGCCCTATCAATTGGTAGTCTTTGTGTTGTCATTACTCAAGGCATGTGTGAGTAGACTGAAAATGCTGGCTTTTGTCTATTGCATCTTTTGAACTTTTCCGGTCAAAGTTGACAAGTTTCCTCTCGCATATCACGCCGGAGGAGTTTTGAATGATAGGTTCTCGCAAAATAAAGATAGAAAATTCGGATCCAGCGTGGTCAATTTCCCCCATCCCCGTTGAGATCTCTAGAGAGTACCTCTGACGCCATGCCAAAAAAATGTTGACAAAATTTAATAGAC